CTCAAAGCGCAAGAGATTTTACAAAAAAAAAAAAAAAATTGATACGTCCCTCAGTTAATTCCTTACAGCCGAAAAAATTTGAAAGCAGACGAGCAGATGCACCCTTCTCAAATAGCTTAAAAAAAAGGCAAAACACAAAGCGTGTTCTTTCAAGGCTGCCACTCAGCAAACTATTCAGACGTTGGCAGAAAAAAAAAACACTGTTATGTTAATCGTTAAAATTTAGCGAAAAGTTTCTAGAACGGCGGCATGGAACACTAACAACAAGGCGCCTTCTAACTCCTTTCCCTCCCTCCCCCTCCTGCCCCTCCCGCCCCCTACTCTCTCTGTTGAATCCAAGCTTATTTAAATAACTCAAGGACTTCTAATCCAGGCTTATCATTACTGCCAAAAATTGCATCACTTGGTACACACAGAGGTTTTTTTTTTACGCGTAATGCTGCAATAATTGCACAAAATGAATACTGTCATTACTCTGTCGGTGTGTGTCCAGAATGCGTTTTATCCGGGTTTTTTAACTCAGAAACCAAAAAAGTTAGAAGGCTGAAATTTAGGATCTAGTCCCACGGATGAGCCCGCAGATTTGAATTTAGGCTCCACGTACATGTGAAACTTTTGGCGAGAAAATCATTAAAATGGGACCACAGAAGCAACGAAGCTAAAATTATGGGATGGTTTTCCACACCCATGTGCGATCCCATGAAATCAATTTCAGCTTCCAAGTATGTCCAGGCCTCAAATACAGGTAAGTGAAAGTTTCAGTGGCAAATCTTCTATCTCAAGAATCTGACAAGACAGAAAGCTGAAATTCTGCATGTTGCTTTCTGTCGGTGTATAATCCTCGAAATTAAAATCCAGCTTTCACGCACATTCAACATCCCAAATACGAGTACGCGAAATCTGACCTGTGAAATTTTTAATTTGGGAGCCAGAAAAGAAGAAGGTTAAGACATACGGAGGATGTTTTCTGCTCATGTACGATCCCAGAAATTCAAGTTCCAGTCTCATGAGCTCCTACATTTCAAGTACGGGCAAGTACTTGAAACTTTTAGTGGGAAACTTGGTAGCTGGCAACACTTTGAACATTGCTAACGACAGACGCCTGCTGGAGAAAATTGCGCAAAATGCATTACTGCATCAGCGAATTTTCTTGAGCCCGCTGTACGTTGTAAAGGCGCGTCGCGCACAGTTTACTGAGAAGGCCCCAGTAAGCACGGGCACACAATGAACCACAATCAGGTAGTTATAAAAAAGCACGTGTGTGTGTGTGTGTGTGTGTGTGTGTGTGTGTGTGTGTGCAACTCACATCCAGGAGACGACGATCTGTAGTTTGAGCGTTCCAATCTGGTTGAGATTGATAGTGACGAGCTGTGAGCGCGAGCACACCAATTCGCCGAGTTCGAAGGCGCGTTCGCTCAACGTTTTCGATTTGAAGAAGCCCACTTCGCTGGTCTGCAAGCATGCTTTCTTGGTGAGCTAGTGTCCGCGAGCTCCGTGCTGGGCAATCAAAGTTGAAATGCGGCAAAAACCTTGATATCAACGGCGCAATTTGGGAAACAGGTAAAGACTGCCGAGCACTGGTCCCATTTCTGG